ATAATTTGGTGACTTTCTTACCACTCTTTTCCAAAGACCTGATCATATAGTCCCTGGCGAAAAGAATAGTGATGAAAGACTGCATCTATTTTAGGTTGCGGTTTTACCACTTTCCAGATTTAGGCATTATTTATATGCCCAAATCAGACATTAGAACCTGAATTAAAAAGGTAAGTTAAAAAATAAGGTTTGTTATTTGTTTTTATTTTAATTTCCTTTCTGAAACTATGCTAAACTCTTTAGAAATACAAAGAAATTCTGTTAAATCACTTTGGGACCAAAAAGTACGTAATGCAAAGGAAATTTCTAATTGATTATGCATTCCTTTACACACATGTGAAGATATGTCAGTTTACTAAATAAAACTGACAAAATTTCTATTGATCACTCTTCTGGCTGTCCAAGAAAATTGGCTTCAAATCAACACCGCCATATTGGAAAAATTCTGCAATATAATCATTTTACTACAGTAGGGGAACTTAAGGCAATTGGAAGAAAAAGATCCTAATCTTGATGTCAGTGAATGTACGATATGTCATAAGTTCAACAAACTTGGATATGTTTCTGTACTTCTAAGAAAGGTTCCTCTCTTAACTTAAAAAGTGAAGGATTTTTGTTTGTCTTGAGCATGTGATCATTCATAATACAACTGAAAAAAGTTGTTTTTTCTAATGAAACAATACTTCAGATGTTTAGAAATACTATATGTGCATGGTCTCATAATGCACAAACAATTACCCTTATAGTAAAGCACCTATTTAAAGTTCATGTTTAAACAGTGATTAGTGCTAAAGGAAAAATCAGCATTCATTTGTTTACTGAAAATTTAGATCATCATTTGCATCAAAAAATCTTAGACAACCATCTGTATAATAAAGCGGATATGTTATACAGACACAGTTGGATCTTCTAACAAGATAATGACCTAAAATATACCTCACATGATGTTCAAGAAGACTTGAAAAAACATCTTTCAAGATGAGTTCTTTTTTGGTCTTTATATAGCCTAGACTTGAACCCTATTGAAAATGTATGGGTTGTATTAAAAGAAAAGGTAGAGAAAAAGATCAAGTATTTAGTAGCAAAAAAAAATTACCTGCGATTTATTCCTTAATACAATCTGGCAGAAATGGGGCGATCTTGATGACGCCATGTTACTTCAGTACATCTAAAGTATGCCAAATCAGGTTAAAGCATATATCAATGTTAAAGGAGAACACACTAAATATTAATTAATAATATAAAAGTTGTTGTTAGTATTGTTCTTATAAATAATAAAAAAAAATATACATTAAAATAAAGTTTGTATATATCGTCGAAATATGTTTCTGCCATTCTTTTTACTGAGGACTGTAGCTATCTCACGAGACTTATACTGTTCTTGCAAATCAAGAAGCTCTTTAATCTTTTTTTCTAATACCTGCTTTGATATACACAACTTCTTATTTTCTTGCTTTAGTGAAGTTTCACAGTTGCTAGTAATAGGCTTTATCTTCTGATGCTCCTTTTTCTTAATATAATTTTCAACTATCTTATTTAATAAATCTTCCACTTCAGGGTGAATACTACTTATCTGTTCTAGCAATAATAGATATTTTTGAGATATAAGGCATCACCATATATCTATTTTAATAGATCAAGGAAGTTGGTTAAGTTGTTTTGAGTAATATATGTGAAAAGATGGTATTAGTATATATTATTAGTCATTTTATACAGATAATAAAAAATTCTAAGAATCTAAGAATTCTGGGCATTTTCTGCATTTGGGCAATTAGTGTAAATAAATTTATGCATCAATATTGTGAGTGATCTGCTAGTAATACAACTTCGATCAAATTACATATGCGTTATAATTTCTAATGCCTATCATTTTTGCCGGCCAGCATTAATATAGAATCATATTTTACGTGATATAGATAATAAATTTTTTACTAATTCATTTTGCAATTGCTTATCTTTCAATTTTACAATTCTGACCTTAAGTTCGCTAATATATTATTTTAACGAATTAGTCTTACCAGAACTATTTATTTTAGATTGCATGCTTGCATAATGTAATATTAGTATGTTAATATTCAAAAATAAAAAATTACATGATTTCAGCAACCTCAGATCATCTAAATTTTGCCAAGAAAAAAATATAGATGAATTTGTAAAAATAATTAACCAATAGGGCACTTTATTGATATAGGAAAAATATACAATATTTTTATGTTAAAATATACAAACAATCTCTTTACTAACTATTTGTTATATAGAGGTGTGTAGACAGTGGGACTTGGGTTAACATTTCAGGGCGGATGAGAAGTAGCTTGTTCTAATGCCTATATTAGAAGACTCTTATTCACGATCATTACATTTTTTAAGATTAGTAGTAAGTGAATAAGAGATTTCAGACGCAACTGATAAAGGAATAATGGAATTTCTGCATGATCTAAATGAAAATATCTTGGTATACCAGCCAGATCATTCACAAGAATATTCAGATACATAGTTATACCTGCGACTTAGATTTCCACAATACCAAATTGATTACCAACTGGTCTACATAATGCACTGATATAACTTGTCTCATCTAATATTTCTCTCCATAACTTAATCTCATCATCTGATTTTTTTAAGTTATTATACACAATATGTGATAACTCAATATACAATAGCTCAATAATTTTTTTGTCTTGTTTTAATAAACCTATAATGTCAGATTTTTTCCCATTCGCTCTTCAATTATTTCTAAATTTCTTCAAGCTTTACTTGCTATATTTTGACGTTTCGCCATGTTTAGATAAATAGTACCATTCAGAAGATCACTCAAACTCATTTGAAGTAAAGGAATTATGACATCTGCAATGTATGTCCTTTCACTCTGCTCATTGCGGGATATACTGATCATAAATGCAGAATTGCTTCATATTTCATTACTGATAAAAGAAAGCGTGATTAATACAGTGATGTTCTATCAATTTTCGAATAAGCAAGTAACTTACATTATATCTAGAATATATTTCGTTATTTTTACTAAATCTGTCTCACTTTCTTTTCATTTTTTATTGTGAAGTATGTTCTTCATAGACCTTGCATTCTTCATATTATTGAAAACTTCCACAAAATTAACACACTTAGCGACAACTGAATCAGGTAGAACACATTTCATATTTTCTTGAGGTTCTATGAAGATGTTTTTTTATCTACTTTTCAAGTTTTTCATGATGTCTGAATTATCACTTAAAACCATGCTTGCTTCAGAGTCTTGCCATATGAGATCTGAAGATGCTATATCTGCTAAACTTTGTTTAAGTGAATCATAAAGGTTTATGTTCACTTCTGTTATAAGATGCTAAGCACAAAAACTTGTTAGTTTTAAACATAAAAAATCTCCAAACAGCATAGTAATTACCTCGAGTTTAGATTTTAATATATTAAGATTTTTTTCTAATTTTTTTCTAAGTATGATCGAAAGATAATTCTCTATCCATATTTAATGCTTTTAATACTTTTAGCTCGCGAACACTGATATATCTACTCTTCACTATAATAGATGTGATAAAAAAGTACCGATACATTATTTCTATCTCAAACTCATAAATTATAATTTCTGCTATACGTGTGTTTTCAGGAATTTTTAAAAAGGCATATCGTCATTATTTTAACTGGATAGTCATATACAGTAGAGAGGAGCAGAAACCCTCAACATCTTAAGACATTGATCTTCTGGGCTAGTACTCCTTGACCTTCAGCTATGACATACCAAAACTAAAGCCAACATCTACCATAGTGTTGTCATTAAAGTAAGAAACAAAAATAAAAATCTCATTTATGCCATACCTGTGATAATATTTCTAATACCTTAGTTCTTTAATCAAGATCTGTTAACTTTGCTAATGATAAATTGACTGTCTAGTCAACTATTTTCCATACTTTGTCATATGGAGGTAGAATATTATTCTCTATTATTAAATAAATCACAGACGCCTTATAAAGAGTATCAAATGATTCTTGTAATAAAAGAGCTTCAATCTTGGCTACTAAATTTAACATAGTGAAAAAATATTAATAAAAATGTATTGATATAATGTGAAGTTTTCAATGACTTAAACATAAATTTCTATACTGTTCTTTTAAATGTCACTATTTCTAACATTCTCATTCTCTTCATATTAGGGAGAGATAGGAGAAATATGCAAGGCACTTTACGCTAAAATTTTATGTTTGTTAGTAAAAGATATGTGAAATATATATTGAAGATCTTGTCATTTTTAAAGGTGTTAGGGACAATGCATATATAAACTTTTTTTCACCTGATCGCTACATATTAAGACCTGACAATGTTATATAGATATTATTCTACTCAAAATATTCCATCCATCCAAAGCAAATATACATATTAATAAATGCTATTTCGCTAAATCTTATTTTACTAAATGTTGTAAGGAAAAAATTTGAAATATTTTGGAGATCGATTTATGTGTGAAATTATTTTATCGCACAAGTATAGTTTCACAAATAATTTGTAGAGTATTACCTATTATATCATATGCATTTTACCGAGGATCAAAAACGTGTTAATTTATGTCACACACGCTAACATGCATTGTGACTGGATAATATATTATTTTATTAAGATAATATTCGGAATCTGAGTCAAGGACTGATTTGGAAAATTCAGCATACAAACTCACAATTATCATCCAAATTTGAGAAATTTACAGTAACATCCTTTTTATGAATATAGTATAGGAATTCTAATGGCAATGAATTACATATTCTTTGTATTTCTGTTGATTTACCCTATATTTCTCACAATCTGAAATTCTGATGATGTTTTCAAAGTTATATTTTTTATTAATATGATAATATTTGGGATTCTGTAACCATTTTAACATGTCAGACTAGCCTGTACTTCCAACAACTATATAGCCTTGCTGATATAATACTCTAAAAATAGCTATATATGTTACAGTACCTAATCGTCCATATAACTGATTTCTCTTCGCATCTGCTTAAGTAATAGCAAAATAAATGTTATACTTATTTTCTGCATAAAATCGATCACTCATATAATTAGATTCTATTAGTTTTCCATTAATGAAATGATATGTTAGGTGCTATCCAAAATCTCGAAATCCAAAATCTCGAAAGGTCAAAATCTCGAAATCTAAAATCCCGAATTGTATAAAATCTCGAAATCCAAAATCTCGAATGGTAAAAATCCCGAATTTTTCCTTTAAAAATTTTCCATGTATAACTAAGCTTGCTTTCTGATTAAGACATATACTACGGCATGACAATTAATGTGCATATCATATAATTTTATTAAAATTTTTTCATTACAAAGTCGTTAAAATCGCAATTCATTTTATCAATGGTTTAATATTTACTTATACAATAAATGAAAAATTTTTCAATCGGAGGGAATTTTTCTTATACAAAAACGAAAAAAATTTTCAGCAGAATTAATTTCAGATAACCTGAGTCTCACCCGCGACATATATTGCTAATTCAAAGTAATTTCTCCCGACTCACCCGCGACATACTAATTCAAAGTACTTCTCATGACCATTCGGGATTTTGAATTTAGAGATTTTGGAATTCGAGATTTTGGATTTTTCGGGATTTAGAGTTTCGAGATTTTGGCTTTTCGAGATTTTGGATTTCGAGATTTCGTAGCATACCCGTTAACTTCATCCGTGTAGTCTTAGAACGAATCCGTTTCCACGCATAACCATTCTCTGTGTCTTAAACCCTGGCAACAAAATAATACGATAATTTTGACATAGCCATTTGGCTAGTTTATGATGGCAATCATTAATAAGACAACGGATTTTTTTATGTATACGAAGCATGACCTTGCGAAGCTTGTATCGTTTTCGTTTGTCTACTTTTCCATGAATAGAGTCATGCTTGCTTTGGATTTTATCATACGTTTTGGGAAAACTGATAAATTATATTAATATCATTTTTTTCCCATTCAATAACTATTCCATTTGGATCATAGCCAGTCATGAATATACGCATTCCTGGATCCCGAGCAATCACTCCTTCATATTAAATTATTAATTAACGATTAAAATAATTTTATTAAGGTTTTATTCTTTAAATATTATTGTAGACTGATATAAAATATAAAAACCACTCCAAGGCGATTTACAACAAGATTACTATCATATTCAAGTTGATTTGGAAGAGGTTCTGCTGACTTGATTTTGTGAAGAAATGCGTATTCGCCACGAAACTTGTCCCAATGTTTAGAAAGTATTGAAATTGATTGTCGAGAATCCTTTTTTAGAACACTACTTTATCTTGAATTTTTTATGATTTTGTAGCAAAGTTGAAAGAATATCCTTTAAATAAGCCATTCATAGCTTCATCTCGAATATGATAAGGAGTTTCTATAACCCACTTAAGTTTTGTATCATTCTTAAAGTTTACGGCGTTGAGACATCGTGCTCGCAAATCCTTTTTGTTTCGATTGACACTTTCTTTTCGACCGCAGAAAGCATCGATTTTACGTCCAGCGTGCTGTCCCTATCCATTGTCTGTGTTTCAACCGCTCTTCTTGTGTAGGAAAGAGACGGATACGTTGTATTTGTGCCGCTGGAATCTTGGAACTTTTGATCTTCTTGGGCTTGGACAGCTTCTCGTCTTCTTCTGCGGTTGGCGGCTGAACGTATTTCTTGTCATAAATACAGTAACGATTGAGAGCAAATCCTCTGCAAGCTCTCCGGCTTGATTACTCTCGGCACTAACATCTGTACCAAGTACCACGATCCAAGTCCTATTCTTCTCAAAGATCCATTCCCACAAGCTCGGATCCGAACGACACAATCGTTCCTAATTAAAAAAGTTAGTAAATAATAAAAGCAATAAATAAAATAAAAATTGAACTCGACTTTTCAGGTAACCACCACTTCCACGATTCTTCCTGCGCGCATTCGTTCCAGAAGGGCAGCGTTTCCAGTTGAGTTCGGAGCTGATATCACTAACGATTTCATATTTGTTGTTTCATTATACGTTTATGAGCGAGTAGAAAGTTTTTTTTTTTATTTTTATTTTTTTTTTTTTTTTAGCTTTATACATAGATTGCATGACGAAATATATAGACTCACAATAGAATTCATCAACATATTTCAAAAGAATAAAAAGAAAAATTTACGAAATGTGGAAATGATAGTCTTCATCCTTACATAAATTTTTTTTCTAGTCTAAAAATTCTAATTAAATCATGGCGGGAAAAAAAAAAATTCTTGGTTACTAGACAAAATCACACAAAAGCTATCGCAATTTGAAATCGAAATGATAATAAAATCATTACTTTACTATTTATATATTTCTGTTCGCTCTTGTCCGTGTGAATACTGGAAGATATTTGTCTAGCAAAGGATCTCAGGGTGATCAATTTATACATGATTATTTATTTATACCTAATATTGTCAACTTTGTTATGATAATTTACTACGGCCATTAATAATGGTCAGACAATAGATATGAAAATGATATTTGGACGGTTATTGGAACCAATGATAAAAGTGCAAGTACGGGAGGCCTAGTATATAGACCATTTTGGGTCTTCTGGGACAAATTTCCGAATAGGTAGAAGATAATGTGTGGTCTTCCGACCACTTTCTCGATATACAAAATTTCGAAATCTTTATTGAACCTTAAATTAATCTACAAGACCAGGAAACATATCGAAATCTAATATTGAATTCAAGCTTAAAATCGTACTGGGCTTAAATCCTGTTAACCATACCTCCTTGTCCAAATTTTAAGTTTCCAAGATCAAGATGTACACCATCTTTGTTAACACGCTGGCCTTATTTTAATCTCAAATAATATATCAAAAAAAGTATGCTATACTGCTTACCGTTGGGAGTACCCTCGAATATTGAGGAATGAAGTGACGAAATATTCGAGGGTACGACTCTATCAAGCCTAATATGCATATCAATTTTTTAGAACGGATTCATTAATGTAATCAAATTCTGTTAAGTCTCACCTCTTTGAGGTGAGATTTAATGGGTTGCGGAGCATCGAAGATGCGGAGCATATACCCAAGATATGTTTACAAAGTCTGCGGAGTGAAGCGGAGTATGTACACAATATATGTTCACCTCTAAGTCGCACCTCTAAGTCGCACCTCTAAGTCTCACCTCTAAGTCTAACCTCTAGGGCGAACATAATGTTCACAAAGTCTGCGGAGTAAAGCGGGGCATGCACATGGTTCTACCACTAAGTCTCACCTCTAAGATTAACCTTTAGGCGAAAAAAATAAGTCTCACCTCTTAGTCTCACCTCTAAGACTAACCTCATATTGATCGAAGATCTGGGCCTTATCCCGAAGTATACTCACATGCCAGATCTGATAATTGCTCTTATTACAATAGCTACATAGGCCATTATCAATCCCTGAAGGTTTATCTATCTTTGTAGGTCTACCACAAGCAGAGCACGGCCGGCGCTTCTTAGCTTTGAAGTGTGATCGACAACCTTCAGGTCTAGTACTACGTCTACCACAAATTTCACCAGTATTAAAAAGATAATAACAAATAAATTTTACTTTTGCTTTAGCAACTTCGCCCATTTTATAGTTGTATAATTAATTTTAATTGAATAAATCTTTACACAATATAGTAATACATATACTAATTACATAATAAGTACATAAATTCAATTAGCCGAAATAAAGCCCACATATCAGGAAGTCGAGCAGGCATTAATAAATGTAGTCAAGGCCGGCATCTATTATAGAAGGCCAAAGGAAGGTAAATTTATGCAATCATATAAAGAAAGGATCAAAAAATTGCGCCAGACAGAGGATCCTCAAGAATATGTTCTCAAACTAGCCATGAATATATTCCCTAATTAAGCTAAATATTATAAAGTCAAAGATGATTACAAAGAATACTATGGGCAGGATCCAAAGATTCTTAACGCCATCATAGAACTATATAAATTATACTATAAATTAGCTAAGGATTATTTTATTACCGATAAACAAGTTGATGAAGAGACAGAAGACTTCTTATCATCACATTAAAAAATTTAATTCGTAAGTACCCACTGGGGAGGCAATTCTGTATCAAAGGGAATAACCATCAATTCTTCTTGAACAAAAGATCTTTTAAGACGTTTAAGAATATAATCATCATTATCAATTAACCCAAAGGGGATTTCTTTCAGCCAGTATAAGACCGGCTGATTTTTTTGCACCATAGATTGACAGATATAATAAATATATAGGGACCAATTCAAATCACCAGCACGGCGTCTCCCACCCTCCAAATCACTAGGATATAGTAAATATCAAACAAGAACATCACCAGAAAGCTTTTCTTCATCAAAGCCTATAGGGCGATCCTGAGGATAAGAAGGCTTAGCCAAGACCTCTTCTTTCTCTATTGCATCAACAGGAGAAATACCAAGCTGATATGTGATAAAATTATTAAAATATTTAACAACTATAGGCAAATTCTTTACCCAAACCTGGGATATCTTATTTAAGTGTAAAGTCAAAAGATTAGAAGCATCTTGAGGACGAAACAATTTTCTAGTTAAATTACCATTAAATTTTTCAGTAATACCCATAGTATTTTTAGTAAAGACCTTCTGAATTTTCACGCCATGCTCTCTCATTAATTTTTCACAATCACCTCTAAACTCTGGTCTCCTATCTGTTAAAAATTTTTCTGGCTAAATAAGAGGACACTCAGGATTATTATAAATTTTCTCAAGAGCTCGAGCAATAGTCTTTGAAGTTAAGATTCCCTGCCTATCTTTGACACTATATGCACTAATAGGGATAGATACTTTATATCTCGAAGCCACGTCTACCATATTAAGACAAAAAGATAGGTAACCCGACCAACTTTATCATAAAGCATGTAGAGAACATCTGCCTGGTGAATTTTATTAGGAATAATAATAGAGCAAAACTTACTCGAGAAATAAATCTAGGACAAGGTTTATGTATCTGATGCACAGCCTGTCTATCAAGCCAGTCACGTATCCCATCAAGTGAAAAATCATACCTAATCTTTTTAGAGGAGTCATGTAATTTTTTCGCAGTTCTATGATAGCCCAAAGGCTGATAATAAATCTTCTGCAAAGCAATAGAAATATCAAGTTTTCGAGCTTTACCCGATTCTATCTGAATAATAGGAATCAAAGACATTTTTCCTCATATTCATTCGAAAAAAAGACTAATAGTAACAATATCATTTAATTTATTTAAAATACTTCCAAACATGTTTACCAATCACCCATCCTGAAGGACTATGTCTGAGAGAGACGCTTATATAGAAATCCTAAATACTAATAAAGAGTTGCGCAAAGAATTGGAGGATGAAATAACCGAAAGCAAACTTAAGAATAAAAAGCTAAAATCACTTTCTAGGAAGCTAGAAAAATGTTATAAGACATTATCTCACCAGGATTCAACAATATTAGCTCATGAAGATGGATAGCATCTCTTAAGTCTGAGATAAAATATCTTAAATAGCGTCTTCATAAAGCATTACAGGATTTAAGACATAAAGATAATGCAAGTACTGCTCAAGATATCCATATTTTAAGGCTAGAAGACATAGTTGAACAGCTTAAAAAGCGAATTAGGAAGATTACAGATAAAAAATTATCCCAAATAAATAGTTTACCAATGGCATTACCAGAACTTTTAAGAGATATTGCTACAGCTATAGACTGTGTTGAATTATATGTTGATGAAGATAGATCATTTGACCCTAAAAATACCTTGAATAGTATACGAATAATATTAACAACTATTCGTACCCATATGCAAAAGATATCAAATGAGGCCTTACATTATCAAGGTTTGCTTAATATAGCTAATGGACAGGTCAATAACCTTATAAATGATATAACAAATCTTAAAAATGATTGTTTTCAAAGGACGCGAATGATGGATCAAGCATGGAAGGATGAAAGACAAGTCTGACAACAAAGAGATGATGAAATCAATAATCTTAGAGATACGGTATGTGAAAATGTTTATGAAAAATGTTGGTGGAAA